AACCGGGGCCCTCTGGCGTCCCAAGCCAGCTCTTAACCACCACGCCACTCGGCCGGCCCCCTCCATTAGTTTTAAAAATCTTTCTCTTTTTTGTATCTGCCTTAATTTGCTCCTAACTCTGTAACATGTTTTTCTTGTGTTTTTAATCACACGTGTTACTTCTTTCATCTAAGATTTGGAAGCAAACCTTGAAGGTTGTATTCGGTCTGGTCAAACTTTTCCTACTACCTACATCAAGCAATGTTAACGTCAAGACAACGGTTTTTGTTTGGCTTCTAATTCTCTTCCTTATAACGCTCAGCATTTCATTGGCTCTTGGAAGCATATCAGTGAATTGAATGAGGGGTGGTTGATGATAACCATTCAATATAGGTAAGAATTGTCTCTTCATTTCATCAAGTGCCTGTGGGACAATGTAGCCACATCCAAATTAATGAAATTGGACACTGAAATTACACAGCACACAAAAAGTCACTCACTCAAAATGACCCGATACCTACACATAAGAGCTAACATTATCAAGCTCTTGGAACACGAGTAAGCCTTCATGACCTTGGATGTGGCAATGATTTCTTAACTATAAATCCCAAAGCAAAAGCAACAAAGGAAAAAATAGATACAAATAAATGGCCTTCATCAAAATGAACATCTTTTTGCATAGGGAATATAGTCAACGATGTTGCAACAACTATGTATGGTGGCAGGTGTGTACTAGACTAATCGGGGACATTACTGCATAAATTGTATAAATGTCTAACCACTATGCTGTACACCAAAAACTAATAGAAATAATATTGAATGTCAACTATAACTGACAAAGATAAATAAATCAACAGTTTTTTTTTAAAGACACTACCAAAAAAGAAAAAAGACATCCTACAGAATCAAAGGAAACATTGGCAAATGATGCATCTAGTGAGAGTCTAGCATCCAGAATATATAGAAGCCCTTACACCTCCAAACAAATGACACAAACACCAGCAATAAAAATTGGTAAAGGAATGAATATTTCTCAAAGAATAGATACAAGTGGCCAACAATCACATGATTACATGCTCAACATCACTAGTCATTAGGAAATGCAAATCAAGACCACAGTAATAGCTATA